AGACTAAATCTCACATCCAATAAACAACGGCCGTCTCTAACAATTTAGAATGTCTAGTTCTTTCAGAAAGTCTACGTTGTTTTGCTATTGTCTCTGACTTTGTTAAATCAAATTATAAAATGCAGAATCACTTGGGTAACGATTTAATGTTCCTCTCTCTGTTGCTGTTGCTGTTGTAGAAAGCCATACAATCCAAAAGCGAAGGATCAGAAGAATAAATAGACTTTGTCCTGGCGGCATGGATCTAGATGATGCCTTCAACTCCTGTTATCCGCCTAAATTTAGGTGCAGAGTTCGAACAAGAACATGCTACAAGTATGTGATTTGTACTAATGTTGGCGAAGATAGACAGGATAATTGGATCGACGTACGATTCCCCAGGGCGGCTCCCCTAAGTTTAAATTGCCGTGAAGAGCACATCTGGAATGCAATCGTGTGTTGTGAATACACTTGCATGCATAAATAAATAAGCAAATTATCTTCAGCTCCCTAACTAGTAACCATTTTCTACGAATTAGTCTTAAACATACAATTAAACATAAAAGAGAACATTTGAACGTTCACTTGTATGTTTGACGTCATGATCACATGGCTATGCTAGAAGACAGACAAAGTTCCTTTCCTTTACACAATGCGACAACTATCAGAGCGATAGGTATCTTGACCAGTTTGTATCAACAAGTGGTTCTTTTCTTTTTGTAAAATAAGCTATATTTAATAGAAATAAAGTATAGAACTTTTTGGAGAAGGAGAGAGTAACTGTGTCTATTTCTAATAAATGCAAACTATTTCAAGATGTCGACAACATCTTGTTAGGGACCGTTGATTATTCATTGCCTGGAAGGTTTTTTTTTTGGTGGGGGGAGGGGGGGCGGAGGGGAGCTCACGTGGCTTTTAGGGGGAATAGAACGGGATCAGTCGTCGCCAACAGAGAAAAAGAGTATAACGAGGGGCCTATGGAAAATCGACTCCCAGTTAATTTCCATAGAACAGGGATAATAGGAATATTGCAAAGCCTTATGGGGATCAGGAAACCGCCGGCAACCCCCATCCCTCCGATTATCCCAAGGTGACCAGGGCTGGTTGTGGGAAGACCCAGTTGGAAAACCTTCCCAAGCAATTCCATTAAAACACTTCCACCCAAGTATTCGAGACAGGCAAGCTCCAACACACCTGCTTAGAGTCTTCATGAATGGTTCAAACGCTTGCCCATAAGAGAATGGACTCGAAACTGGGATCCATTACAGCTTATCAACCTTCCTACAGATACTCCGAAAGAATTTTTAAGGCTTAACAGACGGGACTTTCCTCTGTTACCAGCGCAGGATGATATAAATTTCGGGTCTATACTCACTTTTTCTGTTGTATAAGTTTTGTTTTAATTAGAATAACACGAGGCATGAAGAGCGGAAAATTAGCGTTAATTCTTGCAAACAATGCTCTTACAGACACTTAGTACTCAAATGAAGTCTCTGCGTCATTACTGACTCATTTACGCACAGTAGTATCTATAAGGTGCGATAATTCAACAGATAGGGATTACAGAAAGGATTAAATTACTGTCTCTTACATTCGTCACAAAATTTAATTAGACGGCGCGAGAATACAATGCTAATGACGTGGCTTAGAAACGTATTTTCACTTTTACTGCGAAAACCTTTGTTAAAAAGCAATGACGTCGTTATTCCCGGCTTTTGTAGCGTTTTAAAAAGCATATCTATGTTTCTAACAGGAAATGAAACTCAGTTTCCATTGAAATATTATTTCATAAAGGCACTTCAACTTCATTATTTGCGAAGAATTGAGAAGTAAACAAGTTCTTCGGTCGATAATCTAAGCGTTTTTGTCCGTTGAAGTACGTTACAGAAACTTGGCGGATTTAACATTAACACAGAATTTAGCGTTCAACTGCTGAAGTCGTAAAGTGGCTCTGTGGACTCTAAAGCCTTTCGTTTGTAAACGCCACATTAACGCCGTATTTCAACCTTAATTAACAGGGACCACAAAAATGCGCTCATTACACGATAAGCTTACATTCAAATGAAGCTATTCGACTTTCAATACATTACTAATGTTAAAACTTTTTATTTTCCATTTAACTTTACCAAAAACTACTTTATATCACAATTAATTAAGCTTACAACGCGTAACATATCGTTTTTTAACGATGAAAACTGCTACGGTCGAACAGCACCTACTACAGTTCCTAAAGTTCTATTTCCTCAAAATTCCCCGGGGAAAAGCACATTTTCGGTATGAAAACAGCTTCAGTTTACATCATTTAATTGGGACATCGTTAGGTTTGCCAAGTAAAGTATTTTCAATTATTTTTTTAAGATATAGGTCGATATCAGTTCTAGAAAATGTTTACATTAAGAACGCTTTAGATTCCCGAGAAAAGTCTCGAAAATTTTGCTGTTGCATTTGAAAATGCGTGGCAAGGCTTTGCGAAGATATGAAGTACTGAAGTTCTCGTTGACGAGAAGGAAAACTCCTTTTAACGAGCAAATCTCGCCACTGACGTGCACTTTTCGTCAATGTCAGCTGATCACAGAGAACTAAAATGGTTGCTCTCGGGTCGAAAAGGAAATGGTGCTGTTGCAAACTGATTATTAAACCCTTCGGCAGGAATTCCTACACTAAGCAAAACAATTCACACACGGAACATCGTTTTAAACTGATCCTTTAATTCGCATATAACTTAACAACCTTATCATGAATGAGCCCAAACTCTACAATTACATATCGCTTGACTTTGTTGACTTGTGTATGTCTACAAGATTGCTCAATCGACAAAACCGGCGCGTGGTTCATCTTCGAGAGAATTCTTAATTCTTAATAAACGCAAGTCCGCGCTGTTAACTATACAGAATTAAAAGCACCGAGGAAATCTGCGGCATTTGGATGAGCAATAAATATTTAACGGGTTACCCTTTTCCCTAACCTCACTCAGAATAATTGAATATATATTTTACAAGTACTTGATGAAGCGAATTTTCGCAATATTTTGCATTTTATTGCTAGCGACAGCCACATTTAGAACTCGACCCCTCCTTAGAAATGTCTGCTTTTTTTTAGCCAAAAAGCATTTGTGATCGGCGTAATTCTCTCACTTATCAGCCGGTGCCTAACGAAAAAGAACAAGGTCGAAAGCTCATCAAAAGCAATGCATTCTTGCTTTTTATATGAATGTAAACATTTCCAGCTCTTTGTTGCCATTACTTTCCCGTTCTGCTGAAGTGTCCCGGCGATTCATAGGAGTCTTTGTATCACCGCATTTTCAAAGTGTCTAAAGTAAAACGTCCGTAGGAGCTCTGCTATAGTTTGCATTAAGTTAAGAAGTCAGATTAAAGCAGATTCTGCCTTCTGTATACAAAAATTTGAACAATTTGTTCTCTCCTCACAATCTGTCTCATTTCGCTGCCGCCATGCTTTTTCGTCTTATTTCCTCTGGTGAATGCTTCACCAGCATTTCGATCAAGTCGAAATCGTCCGTTAGATCAACAGGACACTGGCCATCGTAGTTACTGATATCAGGGTTAGCTCCGCTACGAAGGAGAAATTTCGTTACCGCTATATTCCCGGCTGTGACGCTGTGGTGAAGAGGTGTACAACCATCCTCATCTCTCATATTCACATCTGCTCCCAGAGTCACAAGCATGCGAATGCATTTTAAGTTCCCGTCTTTGACAAGCTGATGAAAATCTGGATTTGCTTGGCCTCCTTGAGTGTTAACCAGCATTTCTGTATCAACACTTGGCCGTTTCAGAAACGAGCACATTTCAGATGGGTCTCCATCTTTGACCATGTCATGGAAAACCAAATCGTGGGGAAATTTCACTCGACGATCCATAATCTCCTTCACTGGGTTGTGGCTTGGCATTAAAAGTCTGTCTTCTTTCACAGTGTCCCTGGAACAACAAGTTTTTCTCGGACTTTCGACCGCAAGGATGTTTCCCTCCGCTTTCTGATCAATAGGCGCGCTCGCCTTTCAATACAGATGTGTTTTGACTCTTATATCGAGGTGCAAAATGTTTTGTATTTGATATCTGAAGAGTTTACTTACGAACGGAAGACAAAGAGACCCTTTTATTATATTTTTCTAAACAGAATAGCACTAACTGAAAGCTAATTGGTTAGTTTATGGACCCTGTTTACTTAATTCTTTCATACGTGATTGGCAAATTATTTCTTTACGTAATATCAGAGACAGACCGTGAATTAATTAACCAATGTGACGTCAGGTGTCAGAAAAAAGATTGCAATTTCTATATCTTTTGAAGAGGGGAACTGGAAAAATGAGCTAAAGATAGAAAGCGCTCTTTTGTACACTTTACAAAACCTCTTCAGTGTTATTTTGAAGTCAACAAAGTTTAACAAGGAAGGAAATTGAGGAAAATTTTAGTTTGTAAATGTGGTAGTCAGGTTTTATCTGACAGCTTGAAATTGTGTTCCAAATTAAGCTTTTGCATTTAACGCCGGCTAACTAAACAGTGTAAGACAACCACTGAATCACACAGACAAAATCCGCTTCCCTTTAGATCACAATTACGTACAAAGGATTTTCTCATGAAGGAAGAAGGGATTAACTTTATCTGAGACGCACTCGGACAATAACAACTTTGCGTTCGAAATTAAAATTAAAGGCTCATAAAAGGCTTAACCTTTTCTGAGTAGCGGGGTCGTAAATGTTTTCTTACTATATGGATCGGAGTAAACTAACCCTGGCGGCTCAAATTTTGGCTTTGTTGCGGTCTGACAGCTTCGGAAGTGGAAAATATGCAATTAATTGTGGCGACTTCAAAAGCGTTTTGAGTGGTTTTATCTGTTATTTGAATTCAGTGGTTTACCACACAATAAAACTCTTACGTGGAAACTAAGCTGGAAAACACCACAGATGTGCTTTATCCCTAGTTATTGTTCAGTTTAATCCTTCACACCCTAACATCAGTATGCATATTCTCCATACTGTTCTCTATACATCTCCTACGGTGCTGACAAGGAGAATATGTTCAACCATTAAGAGGTTCTTCAGTTGGTGATCATTTCCTTTATTCTCATGACCTTAATGTGTGATTCAGGGATGATATTGTAGGGAGAAATTAGATGCGAGTCACTCGTATGGGTTTAAGGGTTAAAACAATTGAAACTGTTTTTAAGTGTAGAGGTAAGATATTCAATACAAAAGAGCACTTGTCAACACTTAGAGGTCAAATCTCACAGAAAAAAGATTTTTCAGAAATATTACGTAAACAAAGGCTTCCTGACAATCAATCAAGTATTAAATTAATCTTACAGTAGTCATGTTTAAATCAGTAATGAAAACCCTGTTACTGTGATACTGAAAGCCATTATTGCAGCTATACGCTCAGGGAGTATTTTGAAAACAAAGTATGATACGAAAGTCTTCCTCTTCAAAAAGGGTAATTGTGAAACTGAAATTGTACATCTGAAATGATAGAACCTTTCTCGCCAATATACCTTTATGCCTTTGATTGGTTTATGTGCACGTGTGCTGTAACACGCTTCTTAAAAATGTATGTGCAAGACAAGTTAAACGTGCCCACGAGGATGTGGAGTACTCAGACGGAAAAAAAAACGCTGTCTGGTCACGTCTAGTTGACACGATTTAGAGGAAACGAAAGGTTCAGAAAACAAGCTTACAATCACGCACAGGGCTGTAGAAAGAGTGGCAAATTTGGTGGCGACCTAATCACCACGGCCTATTGGCAGCTGGCTGAAAGCTGCCATTTTGAAACCCGAGAGTTGGGCACTGAGTCGATGCCACTATATTTATCGAAGCACTTTCTGGAGATTAGTAACGTGAAAGACAAATAATCGAGATTATTTTTTCTGGATTTATTTCCATAGTCAGACAGAGTTTTTCAAATAGAAATTCTTTAATAAAATTCACTTCCCCAAAATCTTAAATTCCCCAAAGAATAAATAGTGGATATCCTATCCAGAGGTTATGTCACCTTCAGCTAAACCAGACGCTTTCTCTGTTTCATTTTCCGCCATTATGATGTACATACGTGATGCGAAATTTACGTTTATTGTTTACAATTCTTGGTGTTAGTAATCAGGCATGTCTTCAAATTCGCGCATCTTGAACAGATGTGGTCTTAAATTGATAATTTCGTGGAAAATGCTAGTTTCAAAAGCTGGTTTTTTTTTTCTGTTTTAAGAAAAAACTGCGGAGATGGCATTTCGATTGAGTGTGTGTCGTAAATCTAAATAAAAGTATACGTAATCATAACAGCCAATCAACTGAAAGGTGAATACCACAAGAAGCCAATCAGAATTCAATGCAAATATGGGTAAAAAGCGCGGGAAAACGCGAGTGGCCAAGATTCATTTGGCTGTTAGTTTTACATTTGATTGGTTGAGAGTAGCGTGAGTTTTCTGGACCGAGCACATAGCGAAGGAACGCCAAAACAATACAATTCCTAATTTTTTTTGACACTCAATAGAAATTTTCCCTCAACATGACGAGGAAACAAAACATGTTCTGAAACTTTTATTCGGAAGAGAATGTCTCATCAATAAAATCAGTCAATGAGTTTGATAATTGTTCGCGTTAATTTGGTGACTGACCAAGCCTGGAGGAGGAATTTCGACAAAATATCGTTCTATAGGGTCAATCGGGTTGACCACTTATGTAACAGTCACAGGATGTTCAATGATGAAGGAAGCCAGTTCGCACCTTGTGGATCTATAATGAACATGGAAGGTTCTTCACGTGGCAAACGATTCCACAAACCGTATAAATGATTTAAATGAGGGCGCTTGTGTTTGCTTGACTGATTGAAGTAGATATGCCATGTCACGTGTCACGAAGTCAACCAGGCGGGAGGTGTCTGCAGTTAAGTTATAGGGTGGAACTCTCATACCAGTTACATGAATCCAAACATAGACATCAATGAGTTCGCATAAGCCATGGGTTTCACGTCTGGGTGAGGCTGAGTACGAAAAAAGAAGAGGAGTTGAAATACCCCTGGGGCATGTTACCCAAATAACTGGGGTATCCCCGCTTGCCCCCCCCTCCCCTCCAGCCGTCAGGACGACGATAACAAAATCAAAACCTTGAACTTACCACAGCATCGTATGTTGTGTAGTTAGGTTTCGTGTCTGTTCCCATTGTGATAAACGCTCCTTTGTTTCCCATTTCATCACTGTTAAAGTAAACTCACGTTAAATAAGGAAAAGGACAAAGGAAAGTAAAGAATAAAAAGCTGCAAAGGTAGAAATACACTAAAAAACATTCCTAAGTATTTTTTTTACACTAAATTCTTCACTAACAAATTTTTGGTTACAAAACGTTACCAAAAACTCTTCAGTGCCTTGCACGCCCTTACTACAGGTAACTTCACGCGTGAGTTTAGTTCCCACATCCAAAAAAAAAAAAAAGGAAAATTCCATTTATATTAACGCGTTGGGTTGTGCTGTTCTTATGATGATGTAACTGGCGGCTGTGCCCGGAGAGTGACTAAGAGAGAATTTCTCCTTTCAACATCGATACAATATCAAGCATAGAAGTGATGATCCTATACCAAATTCTCCAAATTGACATCGTAAGAATTGTATGACAGACAGTAAGGAGAATTACTAATGGGATCTTGGGAGTTAAAGGGTTAAGGTGAAACCCAAACATGAGAGCTTGCGCAGGCTTAATGGACGGCAGTAAGAGGCCTTCTAGGCGGCGGTAGACCACCAGTAACTGGCTTTCAATAGACTCTTGATAACTACACTGTAAACAAACTTGACAACCACAAGTATTTTAAGGGGGAGGAGGTAACCCTCTCATTCCCAAGATCTCATTAGTAATTTTCCTTACTGTCTGCCATGTGACTCTTATGATATTGATTCTGAGAATTTGGTTTTGAATTAATGAATAATCTCCTACTTTATATTTTCACCAAATTCTCGTCACGTTTCTGCCTAGTATTGTATTGATATTGTAGGGAGAAATTCTGTATTGGTCATTTATGGGAGTTAAAGGGTTCAAAGCGTGAAAGAAGCGCATTTGTGGCTTTGTATTTTCAGAAATCATCCACACAACTGACCAATAATTTGGAGCAGAGAAGACGGTGATGCATTTTCCATCGTGTGCGATCTCGTAGCCTTGCGGCTTAACCTCGTGACTTCTGATGATGTATTCTGTGATACAGCAAAACAAAAACCGGTAGAAACAAAATTAAAACTTATCACAACAAATCAACACCATAAAAAACCAAAGCAGAAACGAGGAAAGTACTCCAAGCGCGGAAGAGCCTGGTAACCATTATCAGAAGCACAGTTGCTTTGATTCTAACAAAATTTTACAAAACAAAAGAGGGACTCACCAAGATTGTTATTTTTGCAGAATTGTTCCGTTACATCCGGGCCAAACTGTACACCAACTCCACGCTTACTTGGTGATCGACCAGGCTGTGGGGAATGATAAATCAGTGTTATTTAACGTCTCTACATGTAATATGAAGGTTAAGCTATGCAAAAGGAGACCAAAATTCAAGGCTAATACCATTATCTCTTCTCTACAAGAGACGAATCCATACCTCTGGCTGCGGATCTGACCATAACAATTCACACATCAGGCCTGCAGAATAGAGCGGATTATCAGTTGGAGATGTGTTCTTTGACTGACTGACTCTATTACTAACTTACATTGTTCTGACTGCCTGGCTGACAGACTGACTAGTTGACTGGCTGACTGGCTCAGTGGTTGACTGACTGATTGATTGACCGACTGGCTGACTTATTGACTGTCTAAACGACTGACTGGTTGATTGATTAACTAACTGAATGACTGGCTGACTGGACGACTGAATAAAGGGGGTAAGTTTCTAAAGAAACTTTGGTGCTGCGTCAGTGGGAGAGTATTATCAACTGAGTCGAAAACGTAAATTGGCCATCGTAAAGAATCAAGACTCACGTTTCGAGCGTTAGCCCTTCGTCATAGCAATTGACTGACTGACTAGCTGACTGACTGATTGGTTAACTGAGTGACTGACTGATTGACAGACTGACTGTTTAATTGACTAGCTGACTAGCTGACTGACTGACTGACTGGCTGACTGGCTGACCGACTAATTAGCTGACTGACCCACTACCTGAATGACTGACCGACAGAGTGACCATGACTACCTAACTAACTCGTCAATAAAGGGGGGTAAGTTTCTAAAGAAACTGTGGTGCTGCGTCGGTGGGCGACTATAGCAAGGTAATTTAGTGTTATCAACTGAGTTGATAACGTAAATTGGCCAACGTAAAGAGTTTCAAAGCTGACGTTTCGAGCGTGAGCCCTACGTCTATTTCTCAGACGAAGGGCTAACGCTCGAAACGTCAGCTCTTAAACTATTTACGGTGGCCAATTTACGTTATCAACTCAACTGATCAATAGATTCACTGACATCCCAACCAACCGAATACTTCAAACCAAGTTATGTGGTAATTACCCTCTTCTCCAGGCTGTCTATTTCTGTCGATAGTTTTCAGTTCATCAAGCTTAACATCATCCCTTTTAAACAATCCGCCATGCATAACCTCCGGAAAGAAAACAAAGTGAAAATGAAATTTTTAGGAATTTAATTACTCTGACTGGTACTCCAGAAGAGGCCTGATTTTAAAATTCACTTTAAATTGCCGTTGTGGCTCTCGAGCAAACGTGCAAGTCCAAGTTTTTGACAAATAGCATGTGAAAATAGAATCGTCTCAAATCTTCCAGCGGGCAGAGAAACCCACGTCCTGCAACGCTAATAGTGAGAGGCTACGTGAAAATCAACCTGCCTTACCAGCACTTTCTGGTTTATAAGGTGACAAAGAGGCAACCAGTTGTACACTTCTGTAAAGAGGTCAGACATATCGGCAGTATATGTAACACAATGTTAAGATCCATACACATTTCCGAAGGAAAACTTTGATCAAAAACACATCGGAAAAACTACAGTCTGAAAGTGGACAACAGATTGGTACAAAAGGATATTTTGACTTCACTTCTCCTTCGAATCCATACATTTGATTCATGTAAACACTTTCATGGTTACCTGTGAAAAAAGTGAATAGTTACAAATTTAATGTTGAAATTGATCGATTGTACAATGTGTCTTAACCCTTTACACCCTAACATCAGTGTACAAATTCTCTATACTGTTCACGATCGTTCTTGATATATTTCCTACAGTACTTGCAAGGAGAATTTGTTTAACAATCAAGAGCTTCTTATTTTCATGACCTTAATGTTTGATTCAGGGGTGATACTGTTCGAAGAAATTAGATGCTTGTCACTCTTAGGAGTAAAAGGTAAAATGGTCAATGCAACTGAATGGAAACGATACTGGTTACTTCTGATAAAAACAACACACTCTCATTCTGGTCTGTACTTCTCCCTACCACCTGCTACATAACTCCTTAAAAAATTGATTAGGGGAACTTTGCATTAAATCAAGATACAGCCTCTTTACTTTTTCTTTCTAAATGTGTCTTATAGAAGATGATACTAGTTATTACTGATCAAAACAACACACCCAAACCTAGTCCGTAATTCTCCCAACCATCAGCTAGATATCTTCTTAAAAATTGATGAGGAGAACATAGCATTGCTTCAAGATACAGACTCTTGATAACCAGTTTGTCTATTTGTGCTACCTTTTTAAAAGCCAATTGGAGTCACAAGAAGAAAACAAAATACCAACTAAAGTTTGCCTCACACCCATCTTGCGGAATCCTAGCTCAATCGGTAATGTTGGAAAGCCCATAATAGTCTAAATTTTTCGCAGCTTACTTTTTCTGTTTCTTTAATTGAATTCCACCTACAAGGATCATTTAATTAAAAATTTGAATAAGAATCACTCACCTCGTGACATAAAAAAGTGATCAGGATACAAAAGTTTGAAACTGAAAAGTGTAAAAATGACTTCGCATGAAAATGATCCCCTGTCAACAAAGTCTCCATTAAATAGCTATGGTTTTGTGAAGGAAAAATTCCTTTTTTTTTGAACCCAACAAGTAAAACTTTAATCTGTTACATCATTCATAGATTGCAGTGCAGGTGTCTAATTGCCCCACCCTTCCCCCTCTCCTTCCTTTAGATAGACACTCACCCCCTTGATACAAAATGTTTCCTCTCCCCAGCTTTCCACTGTTGTAAAAATCAAAAATTGCAGCGATAGTTTTTTACCAGGAAAATACTGAGTACTCTGTTGCCAAAATTACACCTGTTCTGCTGGCTACAACTTGAAATCACCTTTCACTCTTTTCTTAACCTTAGTATTTCTTAACAATTTCTGAAGTGGTGAGAAATTTGCAACCTTTAAGGGGTTGAAAATTCCAAAGCTCTACAAATAGTATATAGTTTATGAAACTGCATGTTTTGTTCATGCCATCAAAACATCAATGTGAAAGTAACACCCTGTACAAATTTGAAATAACATCAGAAGGATTAAAAAAATATGTGTTGAAAAAATACGAATATCTGAATATCATATAATTGAACTGGGGATTGATGAACAAACACAAGAGTGATCTTGACAGTAATAAACACTACAAGCTCCAGTTGGCTTGTCAGCTCAGTTAGAGGAGCCCTGCAGAGGTCACGGGTTCAACTCCTGTACAAGCCTAATTTTTTTTCTGGCTCTATTTTCACTATGCAGTGTTCATTACTGCAAAGATCACTCTCATTTTCGTTTATTAATGACTTTCATATATTCACTGCCATTCATTCATCACCTCACAGGTTTATTATAAACCAACAAAATGACCAGCTCCCAGTTGGCTTATTAGCTCAGTTGGTAGAGCACTGCACTGATATTGCAGAGGTCCTGGGTTTAACTCCCATACAGGTTTGATTTTTTTCAGGCCTTATTTTCATTACTGCTTAATAAGTGGTGTTCATTAATGCAAAGATGATGTTCACCTTCATTTAATAAAATACATGATATCAAACATTGTAATTTTTCACTTGATTTTTTTGAAACTAAGAAATTCATGGATAGTAATAAAAAAGATACATAAGGGTTTTCAGTAGAAGGGTATCCATTTAGATTGAAGACATTTAAAAGATCATAAAACTGCCCATGTATGTCACCACACACTGTGAATCTTCCATTCTGTGAAGAAAACAGAAAAACCATAAAATCAGCAGTGAGAACACATTAAAAATAAATTAAGCAACATGTACCAAACAAGCAGAAATAAGTGTTTTAGCATCTTCTCTGGTGAATTTTTACATCAAAGTTAGAGACTTACCTCTGGGATAGAAATTTCAACCATTGATGGCTGTTTCTCAAATATCTTTTTAACCTCTACTAAAATCTGAAAAAGGAAAATCGAAATTCTTGCAACAAACAGTGTGGTGGGAAATCATTAATCCTTTAACTTCCAAGTTCTGATTATTAACTCTCCCATCTATCTGCTACACATTTCCATGTAAATTAGTTTGGGGAATTTTATGTTAGATCAAGATAACAACTTCTGATGAGTGTAAGTATTCTCAAAACCCATTTGCAGGATAATTTATGGATATTAAGGGAGAAAAGGTACAGTCTGTACGCGAGCCTGTTGGCCCACCCAGCTGGAGCTTATCCTGGTTTCCTTACCATGAAGCAACTAGGGGCACCACTAATCCCCCCCTGGATGGGAAGCTATTCCATCACAAGGTTGCCTAACAGCATTTCATCAAACTTCCCTGACAATTTGCTAGCATCTATTTATACTCCTGGATGGAGAGAGGCACTGTGAGAGTAGATCAGTGTCTTGCTTAAGAACATAACACTAAGACTTGATCAGGTCTTGAACCCAGACCACTCGACCTGGAGTCCAGTGCACTGGCCATTAAGCTACTGGTTCTCCTACCACTATAATAATTTACATGTTAATCCTTTAACTCCCAAGATCTCATCAGTAATTCTCCTTACTGTCTGCCAAATGATTCTGATTGTGTTAGTTTGGAGAATTTGGTATGGGATTGATTAGTAATCCCATCATTGATATTTATCTTTATTCTCATCACTTGCCTGCATGATATTGTATACAAATTCTGTCTTGGTCACTCTCTGGAATTTAAGGGTTAATTACTTTTCGGAGTAAAATAGAGTTAACAGAAAACTGTCTGAATGAGCATATAGGTGCACAGAAATACCACCTTTCGTTCCACCAAACAAGAACAAAATGCTACCTTGTATGCATATTTCTTGTGTATTTTCTTCTGATCTTTAAATCTTTCAATTAGATCCTCTACAAATTCCTTAGTGATTCCCTCAGGACTCAATCTTGGACCATCGTAGTCATCTTCAACCACTAAAGTCAACAAAAGCAATTTTGAAAAATATATCCATTACATTTGCTTAAGTTTAAAAATGAGCTATTTACAAGGCAAAAATATTGTTAGGAGGTAAAAACCAAATGTTTGCGATGCTACATCATCATCAGGGTAATTCTATTTTTGCCTTGTAAATAGCTCATTGATAATATTTACAATAGATAAAAACTAATTTTAGCTTGCCAAACCACTATTGCCGAGCTAAGATCATAAATACATGGCATCAATTTTTAAAATAAATCCATAAAAATTTTTCACTGCTATTTTTGGACTCATGCAACAACTTTGTCGAAGGACTGCTCATAGTCTGTGGAAAGGCAAATGAAATAGACAATTTTGGGGAAGAGGTGGAAATCTGTAAGCTCCGTATCTGTCTGTATGGCTGTTTCTTGAGCAAAATACAGTCATCAGAGAGCTGTGTTCATTTAGGGAGTTTAGTGATGAACACATCAATAACAGCTTTGTGTCATGTATCAAAACTCCCAGACTCAGCAGGGGTATTACTGAAATTTTAGCTGTCATAAAATTATGGCAGACTTCATTGTCATTTTCCTGGATTGGGCCAAATTAAAGCAAACCTTTGATTTTTTGTTCCTAAATTCACTTACCCATTGAATCTAAATCTAAAGAATCAGCCACAGATTTGCTGTCATCCACTGCAATAGCTTTCTCAAAAGCTTGTCTTTGTACAATCTTCTTGCATTCTGTGAACTTCAGATTGGCATCTTTATCTTTTGGTCTAAATTTCTTCACCTTTAAAGAGGCAAAAACTGTTTTTCAGCCATGCAGAAAATATATTTGAACAGTGTTCTTTCTTAACCATTTTATCACAGAGATTTAAATTTCAACTTCATGTTTGCACTGCGTTAGGTGACGCAACTGATATTTTACATCTAACCAATCTTATTTGCATGACACCACTTGAACAGATATAATCATCTCTTGTCTGGACAAATAATGCCAATTTTCAACTGATTGTCAAAAGTAATCTAGGAATTCATTGGTTTTCTTCCTTGCTCTCTGTGAAAATTTGCAGCTGCTTTTCACTAAACACATGTAAAACTGACCTAATCATGACTTGGTTTAAGTCAAGTTTTCCCATGGTCTAGTATTTCTCGGTTAACCTTTTACCTTCAACCCCCAAGTAAGACAAGAACCTAATTTCTTCTTACAATATCACCCCTGAATTGAACATTAAGAACATCTTGATTGTTAAACAAATTCTCCTTGTCAGCACCTTAGAAAATGTACGGAGAACAGTATAGAGAATGTGGATTCTGATGATAAGGTGTAAAACATTAACTTCCAAAATCCAATGAGTGATATTCTCCCAACAGACTGTCATACATGTACTTGTAAATTAGATAGGAGACTTAAGAGCTACATCAGGATCACAAGTCTCACTGATAAGCATGCGTATTCTCATAACCTGTCTGCAAGATAACATATTGGAATTTCAAGGAGAATTAACGTGTATATCACTTCTGAGAGCCAAAGGGTTACTCAAGATATCTACCTACCATTTCATAATCCTTGAGGCTTAGTTTGAATTTTCCGAGGGCCATATATGCAGATGCTCTTCTGTAATATGCCTAAAATTCAGAAGAAAAAAAAGCAATTGTACATTATCTCTATTAACATTTGCCATAACATTTTGATTCAATAGAGAATGAAAGAGGGCAAATATTAATAGAATTTGGTCACCAAATAAATATAAATGTTCAATTCATTTTTCTTGAGCCCTAACTTGAATAAGCAGGTGCTGTGTTTTGTTAAATTGCCCTTAGTGACAAATAGAATTACAAAAACAGTTGATAACATGAAAGATTCTTTCCCTGCCAGTCTTCTCTCAAGTCATTTGTATGAATTTATAGGCAGAGGAATTTAGAATTTTCCCTTCTAAAATTGAAGGTTTTCAGGGGAGCAAAATCTTATAATTTCTGAATTTTTTTTAAGCTTACATCCCTTTCCATACTTTTGGAAAAAGTAACATTTTAGGATATCATTTTGTATGTCATACATATTTTATTAGGAATGAGATTTGGCTATGATTGGTTGGCATAATCTGGTGAAAGATCAACAACTTTGATCTGTAAGGCAATTGAAGATTATACCCAAGGTGTAAAAGCTTCTCGGTAAAACACCTGTTGTGATATTGTCATTATGGCAATAACACGATACCTTTATGTACTTTTTGTCCAGTTCAATCGCTTTATTAGCATCATCAAGAGCACAGCCATAGTATTCTGTCTTAATATAGCAGAAGCTTCTATTTCCATAATAAGCTGGTACTTTAGGATTCAACTCTATAGCTTTGGAGTAAAGATCAAGAGCCTCATCATACTTCCCCTCTAGAATAAGATGGAGGAAAAAAATGTAATTATTGATGAATACATACATTGGACAGACATGAACATTAGCCTTCATTTCAGGCAAAAAACATGGATGGATATTTGTACACAGACAATATCTGTTTCAAAAAGCAATTTATTTTGGATGGCAGAGAAAATATCTGCACATCTGGCTAAATAACGATTACTGGGTGCATTAACTTTTAAATACTTTGGAAGCATGTATAATTAAACTTCCACACACAGTTTTTCATCCAAAATAGATTTTGACTTTTCTGAGCCACTTCAACTCTATTCAACTTGTAATGGAAGAAGACTTTATTCACAACAGACCCAAGTTTGAAAATCTGGGAAATCGCTTAAGGAATATAACCAGATATTTCCAAGTTTTATCAAAGGAAGTTCCAGCCAAGTGATACATTTAACCCCATGAGTGACCAAGACAGAATTTCTCCTTACCATTTCAATACAATATCAAACTGACAAGTAATAATAAAAACAAAAATATCAACAAGGCTTAGGACACAAGATTATAGGTTGATACAAGACCAAATTCCCCAAACTGAAATCATAAGAATTGTATGGCAGACAGTAAGGAGAATTACTGATGAGATCTCAATTGAAAGGGTTACTAGATAAATGGTTTGTGAGATAAAACATTACCACTTGCCCTATCAAGTTTCATGATACTGAGCTAAGAGTTTATGAACTTGTTCTTGCAACACAATATAAGATATAATTTTCCAGACCTAAATTTCTGAGAATCTTGACAACCATGGCCAATCATTGAGTTTACATATTATGCTGTCAAAGGATTGCTGAGTTACTTAGCATATTCCTGAAACGAAAGCCAATTGTTTTATTTTTACAAAAATTCAAGTTCGATCTCACTCGAAGTCAAAATTAAATTTTGAGGTTTCCTTCAATTTCATTCTTAATTAGCTCATAAAAATTGTTTTTATACAATTATCACGAATCCTTTTTGCAAAGTTGAAACAGAGAATCCGAGTGCCCGTTCCAATGTACAAATGTTTTTTGCGAAAATGTATTCCTAAAAAGGTCAAGTTTTCCTTCATTTTATCAATCAAACAGAGAGTTACATTTACAGATGTGAAATTGATCGATGATCGGTGAGATAAACGAACACGACACTAGATCAATAAAATTACGATGAATAATCTGAATGTTGCATAAGTTTAACACTAACTTTTTAATCTTAGGGAGTAAAACAGTGGGCTTGATTAAGACGAAACAGATGCACATTTCCTCTTACTTTTCCAAATAAAAATACCGGCCGGTTGCATAAACATATTTCGGTATCAGGCATGCTTTCCAAAAATTTTTTTGCTGAGTCCAGTTCGAGACACCCGTTTCCTGTCAATCGTTCAGTTTTTAAGTAAAAAAAATCGCCTCCTCACTGATCAAGACCTACCTTTGAAATATTTATTTGCCTCTAATTTGAACTCTTCAGCTTTTACCTCCTCCTCCGCCAATTCTCCGTTTGCCTTCTCGTCCGCCATTTTTGCTCTCCTTGTCAGTTCCAGGCTTTCCCCTACAACCAACAAGCACCTTGACAGGCCAGTGATTTAGGGGGAGGGGAGGGTGTGGAAGGGGGCGCAAATGACTTGGGGAAATGAATTAAATGCTAAAGATTGTTTCAAGGCTAAGAGCTGGCAAATTGAAGGCAATAAAAACAAAATATTTTTATAAAGGGAGTATTAATCTAGGGAAGAAGTGATTGTTAGAGAGGGTCTGGAAACAATGGCCAAAAGTAGGACAATTGTGAACTTGCAGGAGTCAGGGAGCAAGGGCAGAAACCATGGGGTATCAGTATAACGCAGAGAAGCTTTACTGATGGGTGAAGGCACAGAGAGAGGGAGAGCAACATTAGAAGATGTGCCTGGAGGATACTGTAAGGTTTAGTTCAAATTGTAGTTTTAAATGCTGATGAGGTAGTCTCCTTTGAAATGTCACACAACATCACCCAGGGAAGAGCCTTCTAAGAGAAGTAGTGTTGCATGATATACTAGAAAATTGCTGCAAAACATACTAAGGATTTACAATGCATCAATGATGGTTTGCTGAAAAAAAAAGTGACCAATGCTGAGATGTTCACAACTTTCATCAAAATGTCATGTTTGTAACAAGCTCTCTTTCTGATAATACCTTTCCATCTTAGAGCATCAATTATTCATATTTCAAACTGCCTTTCAAAGAAAATTCCAATCAAAAATAAATCAGTCAACTTTGTGCTGAGGCTGAGAAGGTAAAATTGGATTCACACAGACTTAAAAATTCCAGTAAAAACAGCAGAGTACCGATGATTTTTAAACAAGAAACTAAACATGTTTTTTGCTTGAAAATATTTGTAGTATTCCAGTGGTTTCGTAAAAAAAAAAAAAAGATTTCAGTGATCATAGATCCCAACCCAAAATAAAGAAAAAAACAAGAATAAAGTAAACACAACTGTACAATTATATTAAAACAGACACTATATTTTGTAATTTCCTTCACTTGCTACATATACAGACTGTTATTGGACAAGATAGTTAAATTCAATTGAACCCTTTCACTCCCAATATCTAACTGACAATTCTCCACACTGTCTGCTATACATTACTCATACTTGTAGCTCTGAGAATTTGGTGGTAAATCAAACAATATCTTTTGTTTATACTTTTCTTAATTCTCATAACTAGGCTGCATGATATCATATTGATATTGTCAGGAGAAGTTACTCCTTGATCAATTCTGGAAGTGAAAGGGTTAATGAAAATATATCAGTGACCAGATTATTTCTTAAGGACAATTCCCATACAGCACCTAATCAAATTTCTGAGCAATTGAAAACCATATTAAAAATGTGCAGGAATAATTTACAAATTTACAAGGAAAAAGCATAAATTAGAGGCAGAACCAACCCATAACATCAGAACAAAACTTAGATCCAGCAGAATTCATTACATCATTCTTTAGTCACCTTATTTTTTTTTAGAAGGAACATGTGAATGTAGCTGTCAAAGCTGCATATCAGCTGACTCAGATCAATACCTAACCAAAAGTTCAATTCTCTTTACTGTTTGTGAGAAACTGATCTCAATACCAGTCTTGAGAATTAAGTGTTTGATCAAGTATTATCTCCCCACAAGCAATGGAAGTATTTAAGATTAACTCACTACAGATCTTAACTTGAAATTTGAAAGTTTAGGAAAGGAAGTCTCAAGGTTGTGTGATTGCGTCGATGGCCTGACTAAAAAAATTGTTTTTTGTGATGGACACATTGAGTATACACAAAAGCTGGCTTTCACCTTCAAGCATCTGATTTAACAGTCTCAATCATTGATTAAAGAAACAGCCCTCCTAACATCTTGACACAGATTTCCTGAACATCAGCTATGAGAATTGATATTACATTACATAATATGCAAAGGTTGCTGACACCTGATACACCAGGTAACTTTGGGCTGCCCTTCATGAACCTAGCATGGGACAAATATACCCACATTTTCTGCACTTGCAATTGTTTGTCTTTAGTTCATGCCCAGCTCTTACTGGGATGGCTACCTACAATATTTCCTTTGTTCTGACAAGGTGTTATTATTGGTGAATCTTGGTTTTCGCAACATCAGAGGAGAGGAGTGTGTGATCTAACTAGAAGTCAGCATCATCACATTAAAGTGATATCAATTGATAAGGTCCACACATTTCTCTCTCAACAGTTTGGCAAGATCCCTAAATTACAAATTTTCCAGATGCTTAGGCAGTTTACATACTGTACAATAAGAAAGAAATTTAAAAATCTACCTGTGTTAGACTAGCTACTTTGCAGCTGGTTTGATTAACCCTTTAACTCCCAAGATCTGATTATTAATTCTCCCTTCTAGCTATTACACATTTCCTTGTAAATCAGTTATGAGAATTTAGTGTTAGATCAAGATAACAACTTCTACCTACTATGTTGTAGTTTTCTCGATACCCGTTTGCAGGATAATGTCTGGATATTCTAGGGAGAAGTTCCATGTTAATCACTTCTGAGAGTTAAAGGGTTAGGAGAAAACCTTCCAGCACCTACAAACTCTGAAGAAAATTTCCGAAACTAAACATCACGCTTCCTCCTCTTCACTCTGTTACTGTATTCATCATCTGAAGTAATCTCTGCATTGTTGTTTTCCACTTTGATGGACAAAGGGGAGCTTGGGTCTTGTTTCAGTTGTCCATCAAGGAGCCCATCTCCTGATGGTGAAGTACTGAGGATATTATCTGTGGACGACAGCAGAGCAGTTGTTGCATCGATACTAAGTTGTCCTGAATTGCGAGCTTTTTCCAGAGCACGAACTGTAAAAGAAAGAAACACAATAACTAATTGATTTTATTTCAGCAATGGTATATTGAAAAGTTGATCCTCTACCCAATCTTCACGTTAAGAAGAAAGTAGGAGAACTTGTGAAAAACATTTATCAAAAAGAAAACGGAATAAACAAACTTTCATCATTCACACATGACTTACCTTGTTGGTCAAGTATGCCATTTTGTCGTTTGAGGTCATCAATGTCAGTCTGATAAAGAAAATAAACTGTTAATAAAAACTGTGAAAGATATTTTATGAAGGGATGAGGATGCCTTCAAAAACCTGCCTCATCTTAGGTGAAAAAATATTTTTAGTGTTCAACGCTTTTGAAATGTGACAGTCATGCGGCTTGTTAGGAAACAAACCCTGAAAGATTCAGTTTCAAAATCTTAATTCATTTTGCATCCTGTGCTAAGTTTAACACCACCCACTCTTTCCATCCTTATCCTTCTAGAAGTTTTCATATTTGTCTACCTCATCCAAATATTATTTTCTGCCTGAAGGCAATTTTCTTAAGTTTAACATGATCACCCTAAAGTCTGTTTATTCTTAGTGATGCGCTGATAACTTAACAAAGGAAGCCATTATCAAGCTCACAAAATCTCAACACCTGAGACACATTGGGAATGTTTCACATTTCGTTGATTATCACCTGAGAGATCATGACAAGTAAACAAACCTCAAAACCACAAAATGATGAACTTCAACCACTAATGCTCACAGTTTGGTTTCCTCATGACAATAGTCTTGTTTTTGTAGACAAAACAAAATTCTAGAAATGTTTGCTGTGTTCATGATTTCCTGAGTTTCTCAGTAAAAGATCAAATTCCTAACATCAACTCATAGTCCAAGAGATACAAGATTTCCCCAAACTGCAATATATGACTACACTCACTTGATGTGTATGATTTTTTCTTCTCATGAATTGTATGTAATCTGTAGCCTTGTTTAAAATCTGTGCTCTTGATGCCTATTGTAAAACATTTATCGATATTATCTTCATAATATTTTGATCACTACTATTTATTATTATTAATATTATAAATGTAATTTATTCTAATCACCACTGCATGTGAAAGTGGTTTGATAATAAAGGGATAAATTCTTTTCTGGTTGTTTTTTAGCAAAATGGTCAATCTCATGATTTTAGACAACAAATACAGCAACTTGACAAGGCAAGAGAAATGATCTCATGCAAAAATAACTGAAATGTGTCTGCCTCAAAGACTGGTGGCAATTTGACAGATGTTAGGAGAGACTTTCTCATGTGCTAAATCAACAGAATCAGTAAAAATCCCGCCAATATCACATTTATCAGTCAATCACAAAATTATCACTTAGACATGTTCAATCAAGTGTGTATCTTCCTGTTCGGGCAAGCCGTCACAACACAATCTAATTAGTGGACTTGCATATTTATTCCTCTGAGTGAAGTGAAAATCATCAACATTGAAAGTGATGAACAGGCAAAAAATATTATTTTCAGTTTCACTTTGGATGCACACTTCACCAAACTTTATAATCTTCTACCTGAGGTCAAAATCTTAAACAATAAATAATTTCGTATCCGCATGAACCGGGATAAAATTAATATTATGAAATTTTTACTTGTAAGGTCGCTAAACGATGGTCACTTTGATGTTCGATTCGGACAGAAGACAGATGAGGGTTACCAGAGAAAATCTAGCGCTTCTAACACTGATTCATTACGCAGAGTATGCTAGTTTCTAGCGGAGCAGTTTAAAACTAATTAAATTTGCAGATGGAAAGGAAAGCATTTCGCAATCTTGCCTTCTCTCCCTGAAGGGACGGTATCGAATCTCGTAGATGGGCGAAACTATCTTTTATGTGATCTCTTCTCTTTCTTTCTAGGGCATTGTGGTGAGCCCTCTTATCGGCCTACAAAAATAAAGTGGAACATAGTTTAGTTACAATATCACAAGAGACCTGCAGACAAAACCTACTTAGAGAATTCATTGCGACGCGCATTCTCGACTCTCATAAAATATTCAATCGTAAATCAACATGGCAAAGTTCCATGATAGCGTGACGCCAACACAAATGGTAAAACCGTGATTCTAAAAGATTTCAACGATATTTCAACCGATATTAGTCTATTCTGAAAGCCAGTCTTACCGATTAACCAAGGAAAAACTCTAAGAAAAAATAAAGCGGTCAAAACAAAAACACGTGGTTTTCCATGTGGATAATTTTGCACGCGTAATTTGACACCAAAACACAAAACTTACCTGGGTCATGAATTGAGTTTCTTCGACATTTTCGGTTCCCTCCTGAACAGAATCAAACAAATTCGAACAAAATCGTTTTTTTCGTGACTTCCTAAGCAATCACAGAGAGAAAAATTAATTTACCTCGTCGCTTTCGATGTCGATTTCCTTCTCTTCGTCGCTCATGCCTCCTTCGTCTCCCTTCGCCATCAGTTGTCCCTCGTGATTAGAGCACGTGTCAGAACATGACGCCGATTTCACTGGGTAACGACAGCCAATCACGATGCAGATTCAGCAAGCGGTCAGTAACTGACAGCCCGGAGCCCGTTGATGGGTTTTCCAGAGTCTTTTTGTGCCGAAAAAATTCAGTACACAAATTGTAAAAAAGATAAAACGAAATTAAAATGAAATGAAGATAAAAACGAAAGCTACGATCTTATATTAGAGAGCCTATCTGGAAGCATATCCGAAATTTTATGACCTGAAACTGCACATCGCTGCATTCAGCAAAACACAAACAAAAAAAGTCAACTGTGAAGTATCAGAGAAATAATTTTTTTGCTAAAAGGAAAGCGCTTAACTTGACGCACGACTTAGTCCAATTACACGGAATCATATCGGAAGTGATCGGACAAAAGTTGATCGGAAAAGAGTTGGTTCCATTGTCGACGTTTTCTTCCCCAGACTTCTTTGCGATCTTGAGTGGCCGCGGGTACATAACGCCTGGAAGGATATGTACGGGAAACACGAGAAACTCGTTATCTGACGTGAGTTTGCGCTTTCTATCTGAAAGACAGTGCTCACTGGGTGTTGGAAGGGAAATTCTTGGCAACGGATGCCTTGTTTGATGATAACTGCTTATTTGATGTCCAATGTTTTCCATTTCTACGATTTCGACTTCATTGCGGTAGCGAAACAAAGATAATTTACTACGGAGGTTCATTGAAAGCCGGTATTGTGTTCATGTTAAGTTCTAATGAGACATTAATACCCCTGTTTTCTTTGTGAGGATTCGCGGGATTTCTCGGTTTGTTTAAATGTCAAAAACAACTTGGAAGTATGTCTTTCTTTTGGTATCGCTATGGCTGCTTATCCTTGGCTACATGGGTTATCAGCTTTTGTCCGTTGTCGACGATGCAAACCGAAGCGCTGTCGCACTTCTGCAAAAGGAAAGACAAATCGAACTGCTACAGACTCAGAATGGGGGACTTAAAAAGAAGTTAGCGGAATTTCAAGCAGACAAGAATAAACTCGAAATGGAAGTAGCCGAACTTAGACAGAAGAACTCAGATCTTCAACGCAAACTAACAGCTCAGAAATCCTCGATTGTTACTCCTATGAAACCGCATGAGCTCAAAGATAAGCGTGATCAAGATTCGGAAGTAGCGATCACTTCATCGGTAAAATTTACGCCGCCTAGTCTGGAATTTTTAACGATAAGACGGAGGGCAGAGAAGGAATTGAAAGAAATGTGGTATTTTATAAGTGCTGAGGTGAGCAGAATTAAGATGTCTGCCAGCGAAAGCGTGAAATCGAAGCTGACAAAGATGATGTGGACTGTTGAAGACATGCATCATGTTTTGTCTTTAAACTTTGAAAACTTAAAATCTATGGATGGACAAAGAGATTGGGTTGAAAAGGAACATAAAGAACTTAGCGATCTTGTTCAAAGAAGACTGTATCATTTGCAGAATCCAACCGATTGCGATTCGACGAAGAAGCTGATGTGTCAGCTTAACAAAGGATGTGGTTACGGTTGCCAAGTTCACCATCTAATGTACTGTTTCATTGTTGCTTATGGCCTTCAAAGGACTCTTATAATCGACTCTAGCGGTTGGAGGTATTCGCCTAAAGGCTGGAATGGAATTTTTAAACCCGTTAGTGAAACCTGTACAAATCATCAGGGGAATATAGCGGCATGGAGCGAATCCGCGTCGAAAAGCGAACAAAATATTTTGATGCCAATTGTCGATAGTTTATACCCCAGGCCTCCCTACATGCCGTTGGCTGTGCCTAAAGATTTGGCCAACAGAATACAGAAAATTCACAGCCATCCGTTCGTGTGGTGGATAGGGCAGTTTGCTAAATATTTATTTCGCTATTCACCTGCTGTGCAAGAAGAGATCGACCAAAAAAGAACTTTGCTTGGCTTCAAGAAACCAATTGTCGGGTAAGATTTATTTAGCCTGTGTTGACTTAAAGACAAAAGCAACCGGATGGTATTTGAATAGCTGTTAGGTAAAATAGTCTTGTAAATTGTTTCCTGTAAATGATTATTCAACCATCAATATTAAGTCATTTTATATTTATCATTTCTTATTTCTTTTAGCCCAATTAAAAATTTAAATCATCCTGAAAGCCCCAGCACTCAAACTCCAAAGATTTTATCAGTGATTCTCCATTCTAGTTGCAACAGAAAGCCATGTTAATTAGTTAAGAGATTTTGTTGACATTTTTGCTTAATCTTGTCACCTCTTTGATAAATAATCTATTGATACTGTAAGAAATTATAAGTAATTATCTGTATTTCTCTCTTGTTGTAATGTCATGGTTTAAATTTCTATTTGTTTGTCTGTTTGTTTTTAATTTTCAACAAGCTTTCCTTCTTCCCAGATCTGTTACAATATTCTAAGATAAAAACAAACAAAAAAAAATGAATGAATGAGTTCCAAGGAACAATTTTAATCACAACTTCTACATCTTACAAACTTGTGATCTCATACTGACCAGTAGATGTTTTATGTTTGAGATACAACTAGATATTTTGCAAATATGTATCATCATAAATTTAAAAGCTTTCTAGCAACCCTAACTGGTCAAGAGGGGTGCTATCTGCTGCTCAAAGTAGGAAGCTTTGAGTGGGGATTTTTTTAAAAAAAATTTATCTCTTTTCTTTTTTTCAGGGTTCAAGTTCGTAGAACTGATAAAATTAACACAGAAGCAGCTTTTCACTCCATTGAAGAATACATGTATTGGGTAGACTTGTACTATAACAAGCTAGAAAGAGTTCAACCTGTGAAACAAAGACGTGTCTACCTTGCAACAGATGATGCTAATTTATTGCCTGAAGCAAAAGAAAAGTAAGGCAGAATTTCACGGTTTTTACTTACATGTCACCTTAGTTTCTTAGAATAATGAACTCGGAACAACTGGTTAATGTGTGAACCTTTTTGGATGCATTTTTGTACAGCTTGAGCTCTGACAGTTTTCAGATAAGTAAATATTGTGTTGGCTCTTCAAAAAATTTTGAGAAATTATGTTTGGATTTTTTAAATGTATTTTATATCATTATATATGTAAACAGTGGATCACATTGAAAGCATTCAAATTGGATACTCAAACACAGAATATCCTTTGCTATTCAGAGCAATGCACATGGGATTTGTACTTGAAAAATATTGCAATTCTTACAGGAATTAATTAGTTAAAATCCTTTTTTCTACTTTGTTATTTCACCGTTTTGGTTTATACTCAAAGAACTATCCACTTCGGCTTGGTAAATATACACCGCTAGTCACCTCCACTTTGGTGAATAGTTGTTAACCCTTTAACTCCCAGATCTAATTTGTAATTCTCCTTACTGTCAACCATACAATTCTTACAATTTTAGTTCAGAGAATTTAGTATTGGATCAACTAATTATCCCCAAATTGATATTTTTCTTTATTCTCATCAATTGTTTGGTTGATATTATATTGATATTGTTAGGAGAAATTCTGTCTTGGTCACTCATGGGTGTTAAAGGGTTAAGTACACTATTTTTCTTGTATCTAATGAATGTCTTTGGAGAAGAAATAGAATGAAGATTATGTTACTCTATGTCTTCTTGGCTCTGAGCAAAATACACTCATGATTTATACTTCCATGCTTTGGCAATCATGTTGCATTTTAGAAAAATTAGTTGATATAGAGACGAATAGCCTTTTTTTTTAATTTGATGCCTCCTTTTCAGGTACAAGAACTACGAATTTGTTAGTGATCAGGAAATTTCCAAATCTGCTGGCCTTGGATCACGTTACTCCGACTCTTCTCTACATGGAGTTCTGTTTGATATTCAAATGTTATCAGAGTGTGATTTCTTGGTTTGCACCTTTTCTTCACAGGTAAAGTACGACAGTTATTGACTTTTTTTGCTTTTTGCCTTAAGGCAAAAGGTACGTCCTTGAGGCAGGAGCACAGCCCTGTTAAGGGAAAATGGTATATCAGTTAAAGGAAACTAAATGAATCAAGTCCCAAAAACAGAGTGTATTTTTCAGTTGAAAAAAAATACCAGATGAGAAGGTATAAAACCAGACTCAACCAGGATTAATAAAGATTGAGAAAGATAAACCTGATAGCAAATGAGGCACTAAAGAATGGAGTAAGTCTGGAA